CAGCTATAGATCAGCTAACAGAAGGTGATAAAACGTCAGATTATTTAGTGATCTTGTTTGAGGATAGAGAAGATGTGAAGCCTGAGAGGCAGGACGACAGGAGGACACCTTTAATGATCAATTCTGAGATCTAAGAAACAAACATTTAGAGGATTATTAAATGTGTAAAATCAGATATTTAAAATCAGATGTTTGAAATCAGATGTGTAAAATCAGATGTGTAAAATCAGATGTGTTAAATCAGATGTTTGAAATCAGATGTGTAAAATCAGATGTGTAAAATCAGATGTGTAAAATCAGATGTGTAAAATCAGATGTTTGAAATCAGATGTGTAAAATCAGATGTGTAAAATCAGATGTTTGAAATTAGAAGTGTAAAATCAGGTGTAAAATCAGATGTGTCCAGGTCTCAAAGGCCTTTCAGGAGCCAGAATCCTGTAGTCTGTCTTCAGATCCACACACAGATTCAGAACTGTTAGCTGACCTGTCCAGGTCCGATGTGGTTGCAGTCGGCGTCGGGGCTGCAGCCTCCTCGGCCCACCAGCTGACAGTTGTTGATCTCCACACACACTTTGCCGTCACCTGTCCAGCCCTCGGCGCACACACACGACACGTTACCTGGACCCACGTACACACACTCCGCCTGCAGACAGGAAGTGGTTAGAGGTGACGGTCTGGAGATTGTTTTTAACGTGGCGAGCGAGGGGGGAGTCTTACGTTGACGTCACAACCTCCCCGGGTGTTCTTCAGGCACAGGTTAACGGGACTACAGGTGTGGCCGTCGCCTTCGTACCCATCGTTACACACACACCTGGTTCAGGACAAACTGTGAGGAACGACTGGACTCGGCTTTAAATCAGGATGAAGGATGTTTCTCTCACCTGGTATCCAGGCCCGTCTGGGTGCAGAAGGCGTGCACGTGACAGTGCTCCAGCAGGCCGTCGGCGTTACAGGGCGTGGCCTTCCTGTCACAGTAATCTCCAGAGAATCCCTCCAAACACGACCCTCTCCGACACACCCCGCCGCTGCCGGGGCGGTTATCACACACGCCGTGGATGCAGCGACACTCTGAACACACACACACACACACACACACACACACACACACACACACACACACACACACA